CAAAAATGGACTATTTAGGCAGAGGAGATACGATTATTCGAGCCTCGTGGATCTTTTTCACAGTTGATGACAATCGGTAACTATAACACCGACGTAGCAATAAATTACATAGGCGTAGCACAGGGAAATTCACAGTAACCCGAAATTTGGCATTTCCAGGAGAAATTACTGTAACAATTTATAATGAAATTATCATTTCACGATGCGTTTTCTAAATACAGTAAATTCTCTTTAATTGGACAATTTGGAATGAAGAGATACGATTATTCGAGCTCGTCTTTATAGTTACCGATCGTCAACAACTATAAAAACGAGCCGCAAGGCTCAAATAATCGTATCTCCTCTTCCCAAATTCTTCATTTTTGTTTACAAGCTGAAGGAAAATTAGGGAGAATTTACTATACTTACCAGCCAAAATAAATATTTTCTCCATCGATTGCAAAAATAATTTAAATTATTTTCAAATAATACGACCAGATTTTTATACTCTCCATTTGTCACTTCTCCCTAATTTGCGCTCAGATTGCGCACAAAGATGGACAATTTGGATGGAAAGGAAACGATTATTCGAGCCTTGCGTCTCGTTTTAAGCAATTTCTCCTGGAAATGCCAAATTTCGGGTTGCTGTGAATTTGCCTGTGTTGGTCCTACGTCTTGCGGTTCGTTTTTATAGTCTCGAATTGTCAACAACTATGTAAGAACGAGCTGCAGGGCTCGAATAATCGTATCTTCTCTTCCCAAATTGACCATTTTTGTGGACAATCTGTGCGAACATTACTGTACAGTAACGTCTCCCTATCATTTTTGTCGACGATTTGGAAAGAGGAGATACGATTATTCGAGTCTTGCGACACGTTCTTATAATCGTTGACAATCGGTAACTACAAAAACGTATATACGAATAATCGTATCCCCTCTTCCCAGATCGCCAATATTTGCGCGAAATCTGAGCGCGAATCAGGGAGAAATATCCACTGGGTGAGAAGACGTAAAATATAGCTAAAGTTTGGCGCGCGATTAAGGGAACGACTGCGTCGAAACGAAACGTCAGCGGGCGTCACTCTTGCCCCTCCCGCTCGGTCTCGTAGCCGGCGGAGAAATCGTTTTTGCCGCGTGAATCTGTATTAAGGTATCGCCGAAACCGTGCTCCATATTCGCCGCGGCACGGTTCTAAGGCTTGTTAAGTGTTCCGACGTTGGAGCATACTTTTCTGGGTTAATTTATCAAACAAACGCGCAAACTCGGCGCAAGCTCGGCATCCCCATTTTAAGACGGCGCGGCTCGTTAAAGTCGTTTGAGGGTGGAGTCCCGCCGCTCCCGGTAGCCGGCAGCCCACGCAAACTACAACTACAACTGCGACTATACAACTACAACCACACACGAGCATGGCCCGGCCACGTTCCGGAAAGCGCGAACTTCGCGTCTCGCGCGCCCGCGCGCCGAGCCGCCCGGCCCGCTCTTTATCGCTCCGTCGACCGGGAACGAGACCCTAACCTTCTTAGAAATGCGGGAATCTTTTTCAACCCCTGTTTTTCAACCCCCGCGCGGTCGCTACGACGCTGGACGAGTTTATTAGAGGACGGGAAACGGCGGAACGTCTTAATAGACGTGATTCCGCGTGCTGCTTACGCCCCATGAAAGGATCCGGCTGTCTGACGACCGGGACGACGTCGGTCGACTTTTTCAGGAAACGAGCTAAAAAATATCACCTGCGTGTGCGCGTGTATTTTTCTTTTTTTTGCGCGAGCCCTGCCCGTACGTGTGCAGGCTCGCGTGTAGGTGCGCGTGTGCTTGCGTGTCCGTGCTCGTATATGTGTACGGGATCGGGCGCGTGTGTATTCGTGCACAGACACGTCGGCAAGCCGGGGAACCACGTCCACAAAGTGGATTCAGAATCCGGTCGCGCGATTAACGGGCGGATTTGTTGCGTCGTGCTCGCGCTGGGCAATTAAATCCGCGGCGGAGCTAACGAGTGAGACCGAACGAACGTCTGCGCCCACCAAGGATACCAGCAGGTTTTCAAAATTGCCTCTAATTACGAATATCGCTGTTGTTCGCCGTGATGAATGCCTCGCGGGCTTGTCACCCGTTGCGCGGAAATTATGGGAACGTAATGATCGCGGCACCGGCGACGTTTACCACGCTTTTTGTTACACTCCCTATTATCCGGCGAATTATCGGTGACACGGTATCGATGCAACCCGCTACGAGCAAACGCTGCGCCGCCGGTTTATTACCGATCTCGGTCGGGAAATCAATTTTTTCTCGGATACGTAGTTTCGTTGCGTTATTTCTGTTGTCCAACGTTGATCTTGCGCGGTAATACAGTAATGTCTCTGTAATTGACGCTCAGATTGTCCACTGAAATGGACAATTTGGGAAGAGGAGATATATTTATTCGAGCCTTGCGGTTTGTTTTTATAGATACGAATTGTCAACAATTATATATAATATATATCTCCCCAATAATATATATAATAATAATAATATAATATATATCTCCCCAAAATTGTCCATTTTTCTTCACAATCTGAGCGTCAATTAGGGAGACATTACTGTATGTTCGAGAAATATTGACCAAGAACGATTCTGTCAGAGACTGTTTGTTTCGGTGAATTAGAACTCGGTACAGTGAAGTCTCCCTAATTGACGCTCAGATTGTGCACAAAAGTGGACAATTTTGGAAGAGAAGATACGATTATTCGAGCCTTGCAGTTAATTTTTATGGTTACCGATTGACAGTTATATTATATTGACAGTTTATAGCTACGAATTATCAACAATTATAAAAACGAGCCGCAAGGCTCGAATAATCGCATCTCCTCTTCCCAAATTGTCCAGTTTTGTTTACGAGCTGAGCGACAATTGTAGAGAGTTTACTGTAGTAAGCTAGTTACAATAATGTCTGGACAATTTTGGAAGAGAAGATAGGATTATTCGAGCCTTGCAATTAATTTTTATAGTTACCAATTGACAACAATTATAAAAACGAGCCGCAAGGTTCGAATAATCGTATCTCCTCTTCACAAATTGTACATTTTTGTGGCGTCAATTGGAGAGACATTACTGTATTTTGGGTACTGATTTCTGACGACTGTGTATTTTGTGTAATCCGTTCATTTTTTTGCACAATTTGGGCGACAATTAGGGAGACATTACTGTACATTGCGAAGCGTTGATCGATATGAACGAAATCGTTTTTTGTTTTGTACTGGTAACGGAATATTCTTGAGACAAAAATGAAAATTAATTGATCCATGCGAAACCTTATTATCTGTGATATCAGCATTAAACTTGAGACAACGAAGAATAGTTAACATTTCATAAAGTTTAGTATTTGTTACTTTTTCGTTGTTCTTTGGAGCAAAAACGTAAAGAATGAACAACGGTCTCTTATTGTTGTTTTAACACTACATTTACGGAACCCGTCATAATGATGGGTCACTAATTTGTTAATTTACGATTATTCGTATCGTGAAGCTACATTTACGAGTTATTTATTCAATTTATACGTTACAATAATGTTACAATATATTACAAATGTTACAATATGTTACAATAACACTTGTGAGAAATCAGAATAAATATCTTACTGTTACTTTTATTAACAAATATAAAACAGCTGCTTTTGTGCTCCGTAAATCTAGCGTCAATTTACTGCTTCCAACGGCACCATGACGAAGAAAAGTCTTGCAAATTGCATTTTACGATATCAATTATTAGAAAAACCGTAGCGGCTGCGATGGCGTTTGTAAAGTGCGTTGCTTAAAATATTCATTATCCCCGCAGTGGAACGCGTGGAAGATCGATTCGAAATTAACTCGCGAGCGTAAAAGATAGTTTCGAGTTCTCCTGATAATCATTCTAACGAGGTGACCTGGGTCACGTCTAGTCCCGCGAGCGACAGAAGCTCCGGCGCTTTTTTTACGCGAGATTTTAATTAATTAAATTACAGTTAATTCTCGTCGAGTCATTAAGGGTAGTGCATTCGGCGCAAGCTATAGCGCACGGGAACACGTGTCCCCCTCCTTCTGCCGCGCGCGCCATCCTCCTCGCTCTTTCTCCGCGGATCCGAAAGCCCATTGAGACTGGATGAAAAATGTCTTACTAGGCGCTAATGAAATAATTGTCGAGTTAATTTCGCGGAGCCGTTAATCAGGGTCGAGCGTCGAGGCAGCCCGCGTGCCACCACCGCCACCCCCCTTCGAAGCGCGTTTCCCTGAATTCTAGTTAATTTTTAGATGAAATTTCATTTCGCGATATACGCTTTTCCGTTCCTTTTTTTTTTTACTCCCCATGCAATTTGTTTCGGAGCCTGCATTCGTTATAACGACGGATAATTATTGCGATGAATATTTGCAAATGTAATTTGAGCCGGGGCTGCCAGCCGGGCATTGCGAGTTACTGTTTTCGTGGTCAATTAAAAATTTTTCAGCCGCTCCGACCGAGATGTTTGCGCGGTCGAAAATGATAGAAATATCCGCACGCCATTTTATGACACCACTTGCGCGTCACTGAAAATGTTAATCACTCTTTCACGGCGTGTTATCTGAGTAATTAATTAAGCTGTTACTGCGATGCGCCGATCTTATTTATTATTATATTATATATATAATATATATAATATTTATAATATAATATGATACATAATATTTATAATATGTATGATATATATTATAATATTTATAATATAATATGATATATATTATAATATTCATAATATAATATGATATATATTATAATATTCATAATATAATATGATATATAATATTTATAATATATAATATATATAATATATATTATATTTTTGTATTATATATTATTATGTTTATTATTTTATCTAATATTCAACACAATCACAGACTTACGTAAAATTACGCCAAAAATGTCTGCTGTCACCGTGCGTCATTGGCGTCGAACAACGCAGAAAAAATTCGCTCACCAAAAGCGAGACAATTATCAAAAATTCTACAGTAAAGAAACTGCATTTTCTGTTCCAGGATTCTCTCAGTCGAAGGGCTCCTTCTCAAATCCTAGTCCAGGTAAGAATTCCATGTCCGACAGTGTATGAAATGCAATTTCAAGTAAACAAACGTAGCGCGGGCGACGTTTAATGCGACAGAGATAAGAGAGGTGCAGTGATTTCCAAATTTCTTGAAATTTATTGGCACGGGACCGCGAGCAAATCCTATTGTCGTGTTCATTCGTTGCGATGAGTCGTTTCAGCGGCATCGCACGGAAGCGAGGAACTGCGTCCATTTCATCCGGCGAGAGAAAGATCACTTTTTAGAATTTTACGGGACGAATCCATAAAGTCGCGCAAACGACCGTGCAGCGGTTACGACGTGCTTTTCGCTCGAGTTCGTCGCCGCAGTCTACTCCTGATATTTATCACGGATCCAACGTACTCGCGAACGATACTGTACTTTACTATAATCCCCGTCGACCCTTTTAAACCCAAAGAAACTGTTATCTTTGGTTACACGCGGAGCAAAGTCGCCGGACCTTTACTGCTGATTAAATAAAGTAAAAATAAAAGCTCTGTTAAATAAAGCTCCTAAATTTTGTATAGAATGTACACGAACGCGATATAAAACCTTGATAAAAATCGTCAGCGAAGAAATTCTCATTTTGGGATTCGGTAGATGAATATTTAGAAACATTTGCTATATTAAATGCTAGCAGAAATTATACCATAGACTTTTCACCTGCAATTTGCTAAAATGATGCATGAAAGAAGTACGATTCCTTTAATTTGATTTTCGACGATTTTGCATAGTAGAGTTTAAATTATTATAGCTTAGACAGAGCACATAAAATTACGCAGTCTAGAAGTTGTAATAACTAAAGTATTGTAAATACTTGAATAAATGCAGTTCAATCGGCTTTTTCACACTAGATTTACGGAGCAAAAAAACAGCTGTTTTATACGAGCTCATGAAAGCAACAATAGGACATTTATTCTGATTTTTAGCAAGTTTTGTCGTAACATTTGCCGTAAGTAATTTGCCGTAAAAACATATAAATTGAATAAATAACCTTTACGATATGAATAATCGTAAATTAAAGAATTAGTGACCCGTCATTTTGACGGGTTAATAACGCATATAAATTGACTAAGTAACTCATAAACGTATCTTTACGATACGAACGATCGAAAATCAAAAAATTGTTAACTCGTCGTTTCGAAGGGCTCCGCAAATCTAGTATCAAATACGTTGAACAATAATTGCAAAGTTTGTTCCGCTGTTACTATTTCATCGTCCGCGAGATTCGTGTAAGGAGCAAACGAAACAAAGAATTCGCGACCGCGTCTGAATTTCACGCGACGAAAGTAGTTTCACACGAATCACGGAAGCAGTCAAAGTGGACTACTTCGCGGCGCCGGTGCACCGGGTCCCCGAGTTTCTAACACAATGTCGTAGACGACGCGATAAACCGACTCGAGCGAATTAATCAGCGCGAAACGCCGCGTTTAAAGCTGTTCGACCGCGTTCGTTCGACGTCGCTGGACGCCAGCGTTCGAACAGGGAGAGAAATCTCGCGACGCTCGCCCCAGTCGGTCATCGCCGAGTTATAATATACAGGGTGTCCCAAAAATGTCTCGCAATCCGAAAGTGGCGGGTTCCTCGGGTCATTTGAAGCAACTTTTTCCTTTACGAAAATGTTCTCCGAGGCACCGTTAACGAGTTATTAACGAAAAACAGTGACCAATAAGAATCGAGTACGGCTGACGCGAGGCGGTCCAGCCAACCAGCGCACGAAGCCCAGTTCCGCTCATTGGCTCGGTCGCCTCGCGCCAGCCGAGCTCGCCTCTCATTGGTCACTGTTTTTCGTTAATAACTCGTTAACGGTGCCTCGGAGAAAACTTTTGTAAAGGAAGAAGCTGCTTCAAATGATCCGAGGAACCCGCCATTTCCAGATTGCGTGAGATTTTTGGGACACCCTCTATATCTCGAGCGCGATGACGTCATGCGGGGAAGGATGAGCGGAAAAAACTGATTACGTATTCATACCGGCGATGATTCCGATTTTTCCGAGCCATTAAGCGCCGCCTGCCCGACCCGCAAAGCGATGTCGCTCGAAACAAGGGACGACAGGTTGAAAATGATTACTGTGGATGACCTTCGCGTCTAATGGCGCTGCGCCGGGCACACTCGGGGCCGCGTTCCTCTCGACGTCACGCAGTTTTCCCTGTCGTGCACCCTCGACGTCCGTGGCGCGTTCGCGGTCGGGAAACGGTGGAAATAGGATCACGGAGGGGGAGAGAGAGAGAGAGAGAGAGAGAGAGAGAGAGAGAGAGAGAGAGAGAGAGAGAGTCTCTTCGGTTCAGGTACGAGCAGCCGTGTATAATTTCGCGTGGTCTCAAGTTTTCCGGGTCGAGCGGGGCGGCGATATTAAGTTTCTTGTCAAAATATTTCGAGAAATCGGGGCCGACGACCACACCCTCTCCCCCTGGTCGGACGCTAATCGGTAACGGGAGACTTTCCTTTTCCCGAAACACGATTCCGCGTGCACGCCTACCACGCTAAATTTTAAATCGCCTCACGGTGCACGGGGATCCCTCGAACTCGAGCAATTGTGTTCGAGACACCGTCAATTAGGGACGAATTTTCGACGTCGTGTGCAGTCTCTTCCTGCCCCGCTGGATCATCGATCACAGCGGAGCTGTTTCGACGTTGCGCTCGAATCCAGGAACGGAATCTTCGGTAGAACGCGGGCATGCAAGTGGAACGAACGCTTTTGTTGTATTTAGTCACTGCTGATAACATTTCGATCATTTTCGATAACATAACAGAATTTTAGGCTTTTACGCGTTTATTTATCAAGCTTTTGAACAGAATCGATTCACGCTGGATGCGGATGTTGTTCATTTCATTTAACCCTCGAACGGCGGATCTTTCTGATAAAATATAACTAGGCATACTTAGGATTATTTATCATTTTATTTATCAATTTTTTTGTCAACATGTTTTTTGTAGTATTCCTCCTAGATATGTTAGGTTTTCTATAGAATTTGCTGTAGGAAATGTAAACGTGTGAGTATTGAAATTGGGTGTTAAAAATTTGACATTAAAATATCAATTTTTACGATTTGAGTCCGAATTGTCTCCGAGTCCGTCGTTCGAGTATTGACCATCATTCGACCGTCATTTGCCAGATTAATGTGACCCTCATATGTCAAATTGACACTATCGTAATAAATCAATAAAAAAATAGTAGGTAGTTAATAAAGAAAAACACATTTAGAAAATGTTCTTTTTATATTTTCTGCATAAAATGAAACGACGTGCTGGTCGAACTGCTTTTTTACACTGATCGTAGCGTGCATTATATACATTCGTGTTGAGAGCATCGTGTTAATTATAGATGGTTAATTATAATAGCAATTATAGATTGGTTAATTATTAGTTAATAATATATTGCGCCACGTTATTCTATCGGTATCAAACAATTCTGGATCAGTTTCTACTATTGTAGAAATTACTATGCTTCACTAAAGTTGTCCTACACGAGTACGTGAATTACGATCATCGTCGACGTTTAACCATCAATCAAAGATTGCTTAGCCAGTATTGCTGTAAAACAAAATCTTACATTTTCATCTAAGAATATAGAATTTGTAGATTGCAATATTTTATTCCACTAAATCGCAGAAAACAATCACAATAAATATAAATATAAGTTTCCACGGTCCAGTAATTTCTCGCTAATTCGCGCTTTGATTGCGCAAAAAAAAAAGAAAATGGACAATTTGGGAAGAGGAGATACGATTATTCGAGCCGTGCACTTCGTTTTGTTGATAATCGACAACCATGAAAACGAGCCGCAAGGCTCGGATAATCTCTCGAATATCTCTTCTTCCCAAATTATCCATTTTTGTGTGCAATCCGAGCGCGAATTAGGGAGAAATTACTGTAGTTCTTGATACTTGATTATTTTTCGAATAAAAAGCGGCAGAACTAAATCGATCGTCGAGTAAAGAAGCTGATAGACAAAATCGAGCCGGAAGATAACGTTAAACAGAGAACGCCGGGGCATAATTGATTGAACCGTCATTTTCTAGCTCGGTTCGTCGCGAAACGGGCAAAACGAGACGGAAACTGCGTTTATCAAAACGAGAGCGGCGGGACGTGCACCTCGTTTTTATAACTGTTGATAATCAGCAACCATAAAAACGAGATCGGAGAATCGTATCTCCTCTTCCCAAATTGTCCAATTTTGTGCACAATCCGAGCGCGAATTAGAGAGAAGTTACTGTAGTTCTTGATACCCGTTTCGAATAAAAATCGGCAGAACTAAATCGATCGTCGAGTAAAGAAGCTGATAGACAAGATCGAGCCGGAAGATAACGTTAAACAGAGAACGCCGTGGCATAATTGATTGAACCGTCATTTTCTAGCTCGATTCGTCGAGAAACGGGCAAAACGAGACGGAAACTGCGTTTATCAAAACGAGAGCGATGGGACGTGGGTGCCGCGCCGTGAGCGCGGCGCCGCGGAATAGAGGGATTTTATTGGCCGGCGTTTTCGTTGCGTCAGCAGGGAAACGAACGGTTTGCCATCAGGATTACGAAGGATTCCGTGGAGGACGAGAGGCGTCCGTAACGAGCAGCTTTCCGACAGAATTGGTTGTTTTAACAACTGCGCGCCACTTTGAGCCGCTAGGTAAGAGGACCTGTGTCGTGGGACGTGGAAAAGGGTACCTTCGAGTCGGAGAAATGGGGGGGAGGAGGGGACGGCGGAAGAGGGGGGGTCGGAGGGTTTCTCGGGGTTGGCGAGAAGGGGGCAGAGGGACGGCCGACAGAAGGAAGAGAGAAAATACGCGGTTTTCGCGAGGACACGCCGCCGTAATAGTCCAATTTGCCGGCAAAGGAAAATACCGGAGGATTCTGGGAGCAAAAGGAGACTGGCACGGCCCCCGGGGGTGGTACTAGCTCCGCTCAGAAAAGCCGGCTGGAAAATTGGAGACCCGGCGAAACACGGAGCAAGGGAGCCTTCTCTGTGAAGGACCTGTTTTCCGCGAGGAGGGTACCCTACTT